TGATAATCCTATCGCCCACTATCCTAATCTCCGGAGTAGCGAACTATGAACGCGACCTTTGCGGAAACGTAGAGGCCGTTCCGAATGAACTGAAACTGGAATCATGCCAAGGGTTATCGATAGATATACAAGGGTGACCGCAAAAGAGAAACATTTCCATCTTTCTCCTTCATAAAGATCAATTTATCGTGATTGCTACCTCAAATGTATAGAGCTAGCCAGCAACCTGAATTGGTTCGAACTGACCGTAGTCATTCTTTCGCATAGTTTCCTGTCGTCTCGTCACATGGCGGCAATTGTACGACTCGATGGCTATAGAGTAGATTCCACACTCGTAGGATTTCGCGCATGAGAAGAATCTACACCATAAAGGACAAATTATAAAAAATTTCTGATTACTGATTTAGGTGCTCATAGTCGTTGGTGGAAATTTGGGGTGACATCCATTTGATGACAGACTTTGCAACTGAGCTTTATATATGATGTGGCGACTGGAGCAGTTCTAGTGAGAACTGCAATCGCATCGATGGTGGCGGCAGAAAAACTTGCACAGTACTCATTTATCAATACATCAGTCCTCACTAACCTGTGCTAGTATAATCTTGGTCGGATAGGCACTTCTCAATCTGGTCACCATCTCCATGTCCACCAGCAATTCGAAAAAATACCTTAAGAAACTCAATGAGTTAGACCTCCAGTTGCAGCAATGTCGCGAGCCAAGCGCAGTACTGAGGATTCTTCTGAGATACACCCATTCCGAGCCACCCGAATAACACAAAGATTCTGCTCACCCCGGCCGATCCGCCAAGTGGAACTATATAAAATGAGGATGCCTAGACCTCCTATAGCTTACTTTGCCTCGAAAAATCACTGCGAAGTCGATAAGATTCCGTAGTAAACACGCTTAGTCAGGATGAAGTTTTCATTAAAGCAAAGCACGCCAGAAGCAGAGAACGACCCAGTGTGAAAGATGCCTATCGATCGAACTTTTCCAACCAGAATAGAGGGCTTGTTCGCAATGACTGGCTGATGAAAGTAGATGTCTCATTGGTAGATCGAATCTTTCTCTAAAGAGCTGCCTGCGCCACTCCCCACTAACCCGAGCGCGCTACCCGTGGCCTTCTATTTGGCCGTGGTCTACCCAAGCGCTATGTCTCCTTTCAAAATAGCACTTACTCTTCAACTTCTTGCATCACACCGTCCGAGTCGGAGTCACCTGCACCTTCAGATGAGATGTCGTTGTTGAAGAAGTCGCCG